ATGTTTCATTAAATAATATAGACAAGTGTTTATTTATTTTATGTAAATTCTTCATAACGTCTGATAAGCTTAATAACATTATCATTAAACGAAGAAAGAAAATTACAATATTGATCCATATTTTTTATATATATATATATATATATATATATATATTTATTATAAATTTACCATATAGTCAAAAAAACAGTTTACTCACTACAAAATTTTCTTTACTCCTTTATTCATAGAAAATGGAAAAATATAAGGTTGCTGGAAAAACCTAAAAAAAAATTAATTAAATCTTCCTTGTCTGCCATATTCAATGATATATATATATATATATATATATATATATATTATAAATTTATCATATAGACAAAAACAGTTTACTAACTACAAAGATGCAACTTCGTTTCGGTGCATTTCAACTGCACCTCGATGCGTGAAAACCAAAAATGGTTATGAACAGTCCTGCTCATAGGCATGCCATATGTGAAACATCACTTCCTTTCCCCTCATCAAACTGCTATCAACAGGCACTATTGTTTCACTCCATCACCTTTTTGTTTTATGCATATTTTTTCTCAAGTAAATGTAAGAAAGGAAGTGACATTTACATATATGTGTATATGTATATATATATATATATATATATATATATATATATATATATATATAAACCTTTAGAGATCTGTTTAGTCACTGATAACCTAATCATGTGGCACATAGTACTGGCTAACATAGTACCAGTAGCCCTCATATATATATATATATATATATATATATATATATGTATACATATATACTATGTCAGTCATGATTAAGTTATCAGTGACTAAACTGGTTCCCCTACCAGGCTTTTCAGATGAGGAGGGTGGCTAAGCATGCAACACAATTTAAATAAAAACTGTTCCAAGGGCAGATGAATCATTTCATGTGATCAACTGTGTTGGTATTCAGGTGCCTTGTACATCTACTGGGAGGGGTGAAGCTCTTGGAATACATTAAGGTACCCAAGTAGGATAAGAAAACTATGATGTAATACCTGTTGCTTTACATCATCCATTGGTTTGGACTCATTGGTGTTGACATCTATCTATCTATCTATCTATCTATCTATTCATCTATCTATCTATCTATCTATCTATTCATATCTATATATATATTTATCTGCCTATCATATCTGTGGCTCTCTATCCCTCTGTCTATTTGTGTCTATCTATCTCAGTATATTCATATCTATCTATCTATCTATCTATCTATCTATCTATCTATCTACATAGATAGATAGATAGATAGATAGATAGATAGACAGATAGATAGATAGTTTTTCTTAATATAAGCACTGTATCATGATTCCATTTTTTTCTAACTTTCCTTTTACAATTATATACTTTACAAAATGTAACTCCTGTCACACAGACATGAATTTCATTACATATACACATGCACACACACACACACACACACACACACACACATATATATATATATATATATATATATATATATATATATATATATACACACTTTCATTTATATTAACATTTGTATTTTAATGCTGATGTGCATATGTATTTTCCATTATTATTTTGTCGACCATTATTTAAACTTCAGTTCGTATGTTTATATTTGTTGTACTCTTTTATTTTTCCTTAATTCTTCTTTCTATGTGCTTCACAATACAAGAACACTGAATATCTTTACCAAATCTATACAAAAGTACTTTAATATAAGTCACTATTTAAATTGTAGTTTTAGTTGCATCATTCTTTTTTCTTTAGTTGAATTCTTGTTTTTTTAATCTTTTTTTTTAAAATTCTTATCTATTTTCTTGGTAGTAACAAAAGATAAAAGCAAAAGAAGAGAAAGAAAATTAAAAGGAGACAGATGGAGCCATCATGAATAAAATCATCCACATTTCTCAATATGTCATCTGGAGTCTTTGTTATCAGTTCTCTATGAATTCCTTTCTTTTTCTTCATAAAAAAAAAATTAAAATGGTCCTTATTTATTTCCATCAAAGACTCTTCAGATGATCATTTCTTGTTTTTTTTTTTTTTATAATTTTATTTTTAAATTTTTGGATCTCTATTTCAATAATAAACCATTCTCTATTTAGAGCTATTTGATTCCTCAATGACCGATATCACAATTATACCATTCCTGTCTTTATCCCTAACTTCTTTTTCTTCATTCACTTCATCTCCATTCGAAACATTTTATCTTTATATTTTTTAATTATCTTTCCCTATTTTTTCAAAGCCAAACCCTTAGCTAATATACAATAATGTATTCATGTCACAATATCATGTCTGTCATATGACATCAAGGACCTGATATTAGTCTGTTAAACTTGTATTGGAATACTTATTTGTTTTCCCAGTGTGTGTTGCTTGATAATATCTACCTGTGCATTCAACCTTCAGCAAAGTCTCCCTCATAATTGCCTGCTTACAAGCCATTATTTCATTGACAAAGCTACTACTTTACATTTTTAGAACTCCACTACTGAAGAGCTCCACAGAGGCAATTGTAAGGATGGCACCATATGATTTAAATGGAGTCATCCCTTCTGTTTCTTTTACTTTTTCATTTTCTTTCAGAACAAACCTATCCCAATGGTGCAACCCACTTGAACAATGCATTGAGAGAAATCTCCAGACAATTCTTTTCCATTAAAAGCCATCCTTATATGAAATGAAACATTACCAATTATTTTATTTTGCTTAATAGTTTTCTTCTGTTTAATCTGTTGCTTATCAAAGAAAAGGCTCAAACAAATGGGAGAAAGATTGTAAAAGATTTTACTTTTTTCTTTTAAATACTTAAAACAAGAGTACTGAATAGAGTAAGTTTGTTAATATACGTTTCTGTAGAGGCCAACATGTGAAATGTCAAAAGAATATCTTTTGATTTTTGATAAATCTTTCAAGCCTGTTGCCAAGAAATGGAAGCAGCAGAAAGAAGGAAGAAAAAAAGGAAAGAAGGAAAGAAAGATAGAAATAAATAAATAAAGAAAGAAAGAAAGAAAGAAAGAAAGGTGTTAATAATAAAACAAGAGTAAATGGTAAAAAAAAAGAAAAAGAAAGACAAAGAAAATGTTTGATAAAATGGAGGTATAAAGAGAAAAGAAGACAAGCAGAAATGAGGTGAACAAGGGAGATAATAAGAAAGAGACAGACAGATTGAAAGTGAGAGAATAAGAATGAGAATGAAAGAAAGGAAGACAGGTTGAAAAAAGACAAAGGGAGATAGTGAGAGAGAGTGACAGAAAGAAAGTAGAAGAAAAAGAAAGATAGTAAGAAAGTGAAAGAAAGGTTGATAGTGAGAGAAAAAAGGGAGTGAAAAGGGAGATGGTAATAGAGACAAGAAGAAAGGGATATAGTAAGAAAGAGAAAGAAAGTTAAAAATGAGTGAGAAAAGGTAGATAATAATAATGAGAAAAATAAAAAACAGGATGAAAGTGAGAGAAAGAAGGGAGATAATAAGAAAGAGAGAAATGGTGAGAAAGGGGAAGAAAAAGGCAGATAGAGAGAGATAAACTGTAAGTAGAAGAGAAAAGGAGATAGAACAAAGAGAAAGAAAGGTAGGTTGAAAGTTAGAGAAAATGGTAGTAAAAGAGGGAAATAAACTTAAAAGTGAGAGAGAAAGAGAGATGTTTTTACAATGATGTTCAAGCTATAAAAGGCCTGAGAGCCACTCAAGGTAGAAGATTACAAAATAAGAGACACAGTTTATGGAGATATGTGAGGAAGACAATGGTTAACCTTAGAACAGGTTAAGATTGTAATGATTGGGGAAGCATCCTCTTGGGTGTTGGTTCCACAAAGTAGTTGTTCATAGGCAGCAGCTGCTTGAATGGAACTTACATCTCCCTAATGGAATATGAAAGGAATGAGGGTGGTTAGCTATGATTTGTGTGGCATGGTGGGTCTTAGCCATGAAAGTTGGAACTTGTAGAACTAAGGAATGTAGTTCGTTTGAACACTTTCCATGGCAATAGCAATGGAATAATAATTTGTCATCCACAAGGATACAGAGACATTTTTGGACTCTATTGAGAATGGAAAGGGAAAACAGAGCAGCTTCAGCCATATATGGTAACAAGACGAAGAAGAGACTCAAGGCAATAGAGGTGTGGTTCTATAGAAGGGTGCCAAGGATAACATGTGAGCAACAATGAGATTTTGAAGAGGATGCAAACAAAAAGGAAACATATTTAATATCAGAAAAAGGCAGCTGAAATTTCTGGAACATGTAATGAGAAAGGAGGGCTTGGAAAATCTGATACTCAAAGGGTGGATGGAGGGAAAGAGGAACAAGAGAAGGCAACATGTGATATATTTAATGGGCTTAAGCAAGTGGATGGCAGAACAGAGTCTGGGAGAAATAACAGAAAGACAAAACTTATTGAGAGCCACAAGGGCAGGAAGGAATGGAGAGCCATGATTTGCTATGTTCCAAAGAGGTATGGTTCAATAGAGGTATGGTTCTATAGAAGGTTACCAAGGATAACATGTGAGCAACAAAGAGATTTTGAAGAGGATGCAAACAAAGAGTAAGCATATTTAACATCAGAAAGAGGCAGCTGAAATTTCTGGGACACATAATAAGAAAGGAGGGCTTAGAAAATCTAATACTCAAAGGGTGGATGGAGGGAAAGAGGAACAAGGGAAAGCAACATGCGATATACATAATGGGATTAAGCAAGTGGATGGAAGAACAGTGTCTGAGAGAAATAACAGAAAGACAAAACTTATTGAGAGCCACAAGGGCAGGAAGGAATGGAGAACCATGATTCTCTATATTTCTGTGGGTACATGACACATAAAAGAAGAGAAGATTCCATTTCTGGCTTGATCTGGCTCTTGTAAAGGTAGCAGGTTGAGTTAGGTATTTACTGAAACAACACAAGAAACCAACCATTTTTTCGAGTATATCTTTAGTGATGGATCCTTTGTATAAAAGTTCCATTTCAGGTCTGAGTTGAGTTAAAGTCTCAATAATCCATCAAGTCACAGGGCCTCCCTGAGAGAACACCCATTTATTGCAATTGGTATAGTAATAGAGAGACAGTTAGGAAGAGAGAGAGAAAGGGAGACTGTAAGAAATAGAAAATTATTATAAAAAAGGAGAGAGAAATAAAAATAAGAAGAAAAAGAGAGACGTAAACAGAAAAGTGGGAGAGAAAAAGAGATCATAAGAAAGAGAAAGATGGCAAAAGGAGGAGAAAAAAAGGAGGAAATATGGACAAGAGAGAGAGAGAGGGAAAGAGTAGAGAAGAGAGTAAGGAGGGGTAAGGCATTGGCAGAGAAAAGTAGAGGGTAGAAAGGAGAGAGAGGAGAAAGGGAAGCAGTAAAAAATGAGGGAAAAACAAGGTGGCAAGAAAGAAAAAGATAAGAGAAAATAAAAAGAAAAAAGATATAATGAGAATAAAGAAATAGAGGAGTTAAGAAAAAGTGTAGGAAAAAAAGAAGTGAAAGGGAGAGATAAAGAGAGGGGAACAGAAAAAAACCCAAAAGGGAAAAGAAAAGGGCAAAAGAAAAAGTGGAGCAAGTAAAGAAGAAAAAGAAGACAAAAAGTAGAAATAAATAAAAAAGAAAGAAAAAGAGAGACAAAAGAATAGAAAAAGAAAGAAAGAGAGACAAGAGAACAGAAAAAGGAAGAAATGGAGACAAATGAACAGAAAAAGAACGAAAGAGAAACAAAAGAACAGAAAAAGAAAGAAAGAGAGACAAAAGAAAAGAAAAAGAACAAAAGAGAAAAAAAGAACAGAAAAAGAAAGAAAGAGAGACAAAAGAACAGAAAAAGAAAGAAAGAGAGACAAAAGAACAGAAAAAGAACGAAAGAGAGACAAGAGAAAAGAAAAAGAAAGAAAGAGAGACAAAAGAAAAGAAAAAGAAAGAAAGAGAGACAAAAGAAAAGAAAAAGAAAGAAAGAGAGACAAAAGAACAGAAAAAGGAAGAAATGGAGACAAAAGAACAGAAAAAGAAAGAAAGAGAAACAAAAGAACAGAAAAAGAAAGAAAGAGAGACAAGAGAAAAGAAAAAGAAAGAAAGAGAGACAAAAGAACAGAAAAAGGAAGAAATGGAGACAAAAGAACAGAAAAAGAAAGAAAGAGAAACAAAAGAACAGAAAAAGAAAGAAAGAGAGACAAGAGAAAAGAAAAAGAAAGAAAGAGAGACAAAAGAAAAGAAAAAGAAAGAAAGAGAGACAAAAGAACAGAAAAAGGAAGAAATGGAGACAAAAGAACAGAAAAAGAAAGAAAGAGAGACAAAAGAAAAGAAAAAGAAAGAAAGAGAGACAAAAGAAAAGAAAAAAGAAAAGAGACAAAAAAAAAAAAAAAAGAAATAAATGGAGACAAATGAACAGAAAAAGAAAGAAAGAGAGACAAAAGAACAGAAAAAGAACGAAAGAGAAACAAAAGAAAGAAAAAGAAAGAAAGAGAGACAGAAAAAAAAAAAAGAAAGAAAAAAGAGAGACAAGAGAAAAGAAAAAGAAAGAGAGACAAAAGAAAGAAAAAGAAAGAAAGAGAGACAAAAGAACAGAAAAAGGAAGAAAGAGAGACAAAAGAACAGAAAAGAAAGAAAGAGAAACAAAAAAAAGAAAAAGAAAGAAAGAGAGACAAGAGAAAAAAAAAGAAAGAAAAAAGAGAAAAAGAACAGAAAAAAAAGAAAGAAATGGAGACAAAAAGAACAGAAAAAGAAAGAAAGAGAGACAAAAGAACAGAAAAGAAAAGAAAGAGAAACAAAATAAAACAGAAAAAAGAAAGAAAGAGAAAAAAAAAAAGAGAAAAAAAAAAAAGAGAAAAGAACAGAAAAAGGAAGAAATGGAGACAAAAGAACAGAAAAAAAGAAAGAGAGACAAAAGAAAGAAAAGAAAGAAAAGAGAGAAACAAAGAAAAAGAAAAGGAAGAAATGAGAAAGACAAATGAACAGAAAAAGAAAGAAATGGAGACAAAAGAACAGAAAAAGAAAGAAAGAGAGACAAAAGAACAGAAAAAAAAAAGAAAAAGAAAAAAGAAAGAGACAAAAAAAAAAAAAAGAAAAAAAAAAAAGAAAGAGAAAAGAAAAAGAAAAAAAGAAAGAAAAAAAAAAGAAAGAAAAAGAAGAAAATGGAGAAAAAGAAAGAAAAGAAAAAAGAGAGACAAAAGAAAGAAAAGAAAAGAAATGGAGACAAAAGAACAGAAAAAAAAAAGAAAGAGAGACAAAAGAACAGAAAAAGAAAGAAAAGAGAAACAAAAAAAAGAACAGAAAAAAAAGAAAGAAAGAGAGACAAAAAAAAAGAAAAGAAAAAAAGAGAAAAAGAAAAGAAAAAGAAAGAAAGAGAGACAAAAAACAGAAAAGGAAGAAAGAGAATAAAATGAAAAGAAAAGAAAGAAAGAGAGACAAAAGAACAGAAAAAAGAAAGAAAGAGAAACAAAAAAAAAAAAAAAAGAAAAGAAAGACAAGAAAATAAAAAAGAAAAGAGACAAAAGAAAAGAAAAAGAAAGAAAGAGAAAAAAAAAAGAAAGAAAGAGACAAAAGAACAGAAAAAAGAAAAAAACAAAGAAGTTCAAAAAGAAAGAAATGGAGACAAAAAAAGAAAAAGAAATGGAGACAAAAAGAACAAAAAAGAAACAAAAGAAGAGAAAAAAAAAGAACAGAAAAAGAAAGAAAGAGAAAAAAAAGAACAGAAAAAGAAAAGAAAGAGAGAAAAGAAAAGAGAAAAGAAAGAAAGAGAAACAAAAGAAAAAAAAAAAAAAGAAAAAAGAAAAAAAAGAAAAGAGAAAAGAAAGAGAGACAAAAAAAAAAGAAAAGAAAAAAAAAAAAGACAAAAAAAAAAAGAGAGAACAAAACAAAAGAAAAAAGAAAAGAAAAAAGAAAAGAAAGAGAGACAAAAGAACAGAAAAAGAAAGAAAGAGAAAAGAGAAAAAGAACAGAAAAAAAAAGAGAGACAAAAGAAAAGAAAAGAAAAAGAACAAAAGAACAGAAAAAGAAAGAAAGAGAGACAAAAAAGAAAAAAAGGAAGAAAAGAACAAAAGAACAGAAAAAAGAAAGAAAAGAGACAAAAGAACAGAAAAAGAAGAAAAGAGACAAAAAGAACAGAAAAAGAAAGAAAGAGAGACAAAGAAAAGAAAAAGAAAGAAAGAGAGAGAAAAAGAACAGAAAAAGAAGAAATGGAGACAAAAGAACAGAAAAAGAAAGAAAGAGACAAAAAAACAGAAAAAAGAAGAAAGAGAAACAAAAGAACAGAAAAAAAAAGAAAGAGAGACAAGAGAAAAGAAAAAAGAAAGAAAGAGAGACAAAAGAACAAAAAAGAAAGAAAGAGAGACAAAAGAACAGAAGAAAAAAGAAGAAATGGAGACAAAAGAACAAAAATCAAAAGAGAAAGCAAAAGTCAGAAAAGAAAGAAATGGAAAAAAAAAGAAAAGAAAAAAAAAAAAAAAGAAAAGAAAGAAAGAGAAAGAAAAAGAGAAAAAGAAACAAAAGAAAAAAAAAGAATGAACAGAAAAAAGAACAGAAAAAAAAAAGAACAAAAGATATCAAAAGGAAGAACAGAAAAGAAAAAAGAAGACAAAGAAAGAAAAGAAAGAAAAGAAAAGAGAACATCCATGAAGAAATGAGTTATTCAAAAGATAAAAGATTTGATAAAAAACAAGAAAGAAAAAATGGAAAGAAAAGAAAATAAAATGGAAAGAAAGAGAAAAAAGAAAAGAAAATCAAAGAAAGAGTTATTCAAAAAGATATCAAAGAAAAGAAAAAAAAGTCATTGCAAAAGGTGAATAAAGAAGGAATAAAAAGAACAGAAAAGAATCATCCATGACAGAAGACTGAGTTAGAGAAAAGATATCAAAAGCTGACTGAGAGACAAAAGAATTGCAAAAATGGTGAATAAAAATGGAAGACAAAGAAAGAAAAGAAAAAGAGAAAAAAGAAGAGACAAAAAAAAAGTCTTCCACATCATCCATGACAGATTGGAAAATTCAAAAGATATCAAAAAACTGATAAGAGACAACAAGTCATTGCAAAAAAAAAAGAATGGAATAAAAAGAACAGAAAAAAAGAAAAAGGAGTCTTCCCACATCATCCAGAAGATTGGAAAAGAGCTGGTTGATAAGACAAAAGTCATTGCAAAAATGGTGAATAAAGAATGGAATAAAATGGAACAGAAAAAGAAAAAGTCTTCCCACATCAATGACAGAACTGAGTTATTCAAAAAATAAAAAATAAGAGACAAAAAGAATAAAATGGACAAAAAAGAAAAGGGTCTTCCCATCAAAAGATTGGACTGAGTTATTCAAAAGATATCAAAGAAAGAGAGAAGACAAAAGAAAATAAAATAAAGAATGGAATAAAATGGAAAAGAAAAAAAAGGAAGAGATCATCCATGACAAAAGAAAAGTTATTCAAAAGATATCAAAAGCTGAGAAAGTGACAACAAGATTGCAAATAATGGTGAATAAAGAGAGAAAAAGAACAGAAAAGAAAAGGAGAAATCATCCAGAAACAATTGAACTGAGTTATTCAAAAGATATCAAAGAGCTGGTTGAAAAAACAGAAAAGAAAATAAAAGAGATAAAGAATGGAATAAAAAACAGAAAAGAAAAGAGAAACAAAAGACAGATTGGAAAAAGAAAAAAAGAGAGAAAGAGAGATAAAAGAGTTCATTCAAAAGAAATGGTGAATCAAAGAATGGAAAAAATGGAACAAAGAAATTGGACTGAGTTATTCAAAAGAAAAAAGAGCTGAAAAGAGACAACAAATTGCAAATAATGGTGAAAAAAAATGGAAAAAATGGAAAGAAAAAGAAAAAGAAACATCATCCATGACAGATTGGAAGTTATTCAAAAAGAATCAAAAGAGCTGGTTGATAAGTGAAACAAGTCATTGCAAATAATGGTGAATAAAGAATGGAATAAAATGGAACAGAAAAGAAAAAGAGACATCATCCATGACAGATTGGAAAGTTATTCAAAAAGATATCAAAAGCTGGTTGATAAGTGACAAGAGAGACAAAAGAATGGAATAAAATGGAAAGAAAAGAAAAAGGAGACAAATGAAAGTTATTCAAAAGAATCAAAAAAAAAGAAAAATAATGGTGAAAAAGAATGGAATAAAATGGAAAAAGAAAAGAATCATCCATGACAGATTGGAGAGTTATTCAAAAAGATATCAAAAAAGATAAGTGACAAAAGTCAAGCAAAAATGGTGAATAAAGAATGGAACAAAATGGAACAGAAAAAAAAAAGAAATCAGAGACAATTGAACTGAAAAAAGAATCAAAGAGAGACAAAAGAACAGAAAAAAGAAAATAAAATGGAAAGAAAAGAAAAAGAGAAAGAAAAGAAAAGAATGGAACTGAAAAAGAACAAAAGAAAAAGCAAAAAAAAAAGAAATGGTGAAAAAGAATGGAAGAAAAGAAAGAAAAAGGAGACAAAATGAAATTGGACTGAAAAAAAATATCAAAGAGAGTTGAAAAGAACAAGAAAAATAATGGTGAATAAAGAATGGAATAAAATGGAACAGAAAAAAAAAGAAATCAAAGATTGGAGAGTTATTCAAAAAGAATCAAAGAGCTGGTTGAAAAAAGCAAAAAGAAAGAATAAAGAATGGTTGAAAAGAAAGAAAAGAGATCACAAAGAGTGAAAAAAAAGAAAGAGGACAAATAAAATGGAATAAAGAATGGAACAAAAGAAAAGAAAAAAAGTCTTCCCACATCATCCATGACAGATTGGACTGAGTTATTCAAAAGATATCAAAGAGCTGGTTGAAAATGCAACAAGAAAAAATAATGGTGAATAAAGAATGGAATAAAATGGAACAGAAAAGAAAAGGAGACATCAAAGAACAGTTATTCAAAAGATATCAAAGAGCTGAAAAAGACAACAAGTCATTGCAAATAATGGTGAATAAAGAATGGAATAAAATGGAACAGAAAAGAAAAAGGAGAGAAGATTGGAAGTTATTCAAAAGATAAAAGAGCTGGTTGATAAGAGACAAAAGTCATTGCAAATAATGGTGAATAAAGAATGGAATAAAATGGAACAGAAAAAGAAAGAAAGAGAGACATCATCCATGACAGATTGGACTGAGTTATTCAAAAAAGATATCAAAGAGCTGGTTGATAAGTGACAACAAGTCATTGCAAATAATGGTGAATAAAGAATGGAATAAAATGAAACAGAAAAGAAAAAAGAGTCTTCCCAGATCAAAAGAAAGTTAAAAAAAGATATCAAAGAGCTGACTGATAAGACAACAAGTCATTGCAAAAAGAAATAAAGAATGGAATAAAATGGAACAGAAAAAAAAAAGGAGTCTTCCCACATCATCCATGACAGATTGGACTGAGTTATTCAAAAGATATCAGAAAAGAGCTGGTTGATAAGTGACAACAAGTCAGCAAATAAGTGAATAAAGAATGGAATAAAATGGAACAGAAAAAGAAAAAAGGAAAATCATCCATGACAGATTGGACTGAGTTATTCAAAAATATCAAAGAAATAAGTGACAACAAGTCATTGCAAATAAGAAAGAAAGAATGGAATAAAATGGAACAAAAGAAAAAGGAGTCTTCCCAATCATCCATGACAGATTGGACTGAGTTATTCAAAAGATATCAAAAGACTGATAAGTGACAACAAATTGCAAATAATGGTGAATAAAGAATGGAATAAAATGGAACAGAAAAGAAAAAGGTCTTCCCATCATCATCCATGACAGAGTTAAAAAATCAAATAAAAAAAGAAATGGTGCTAAAAAAGCAAATAAGAAAAAAAGAAAAGAGAGACAAATAATGGTGAATAAAGAAAAAGGAAAAGAATAAAATGGAACAGATAAAAGAAAAGAGAAAAGTCTTCCCATCAAAATAAAGAATGGAATAAAAAGACAGATTGAAAAGTTAAAAAGATATCAAAGAGCTGACTGATAAGTGACAACAAGTCATTGAAATAATGGTGAATAAAGAATGGAATAAAATGGAACAGAAAAGAAAAGGGTCTTCCCATCAATGACAGATTGGACTGAGTTATTCAAAAGATATCAAAAGCTGGTTGATAAAGACAACAAGTCATTGCAAATAATGGTGAATAAAGAATGGAATAAAATGGAACAGAAAAGAAAAAGGAACATCATCCAGAGACAGATTGGACTGAGTTATTCAAAAAGATATCAAAGAGCTGACTGAAAGACAACAAGTCATTGAAATAATGGTGAATAAAGAAAGAATAAAATGGAAAGAGAAAAGAAAAGGAAAATAAAAGTGAAAAAAATGGAATGCAAAAATGGGAACAGAAAATAAAATGGAAAAAAAAAAGGAGTCTTTTAATCATCCATGACAGATTGGACTGAGTTATTCAAAAGATATCAAAGAAGCTGGTTGATAAGTGACAACAAGAACAAAAAATGGTGAATAAAGAATGGAATAAAATGGAACAGAAAAGAAAAAGGAGTTCCCACATCATCCATGACAGATTGGACTGAGTTATTCAAAAGATATCAAAGAAAAGCTGGTTGATAAAGACAACAAGTCATTGCAAATAATGGTGAAGAAAAGAAGAATAAAATGGAACAAAAAACAGAAAAGAAAAAGGAGTCTTCCCACATCATCCATGAAGAAGTTATTCAAAAAGATATCAAAAGAGCTGGTTGATAAGTGACAACAAGTCATTGCAAATAATGGTGAATAAAAATGGAATAAAATGGAGAAAAGAAAAAAGAAATGACAAACTGAGTTATTCAAAAAGATATCAAAGAGCTGACTGAAAAGAACAAGTCATTGCAAATAAAAAATAAAGAATGGAATAAAATGGAACAGAAAAAAAAAAGAGTCAAAAGATCATCCATGACAGATTGGACTGAGTTATTCAAAAGATATCAAAAGAGCTGGTTGATAAGTGACAACAAGTCATTGCAAATAATGGTGAATAAAGAATGGAATAAAATGGAACAGAAAAAAAAAAGTCTTCCCAATCATCCAAACAGATTGGACTGAGTTATTCAAAAAGATATCAAAAGAGCTGACTGATAAGTGACAACAAGTCATTGCAAATAATGGTGAATAAAGAAATGGAATAAAATGGAAAAGAAAAGAAAAGAGTCAAACATCAAGAACAGATTGGACTGAGTTATTCAAAAATATCAAAGAGCTGGTTGATAAGAGACAAAAGTCAAAATAATGGTGAATAAAGAATGGAAAAAAATGGAACAAAAAAAAAAAGACATCAATGACAGATTGGACTGAGTTATTCAAAAATATCAAAGAGCTGACTGATAAGACAACAAGTCATTGCAAATAATGGTGAATAAAGAATGGAATAAAATGGAAACAGAAAAAGAAAAGGAGTCTTCCACATCATCCATGACAGATTGGACTGAGT